CTCCACCTGCATAGTCTCGCTCTCGTTCTCAGTGACAGTTCTCCACATCCCTCCCTTATTATAAAGTTTCAAGCGTAACTTGGATTCACCAGCTGGGGCGCCGCTTCCGAGTCGGTCGGGGTCAAGTTCACAAGGCGTTCCTGAAGAAGGGTCCCCTGATGACGGCGTCATATATGTGGAATCAGATGTCGGTGCGGCTGAAAGTAAGGATGTGGCGGTGGCTGAAGGTGTGGCAGTCTGTCCAGGATTAGCAGTTGCATCATTAGGTTCGGCTAAAGCTTGAGATGGTACTTTTTTTATGTGGCTTATATTTCGGCGGATTCGTTTCCCATCCGCCATCACTATAACTTCATTTCCATAGCGTTCAAGAACTTCGTACTCCGTCGGGTCAAACGTTGGTGTCAGTTTATGCGAGAAAACGACATTCCGAAGTAGTACTCTATCTCCAGGAACTATGTCAGATGGTTTCGCTCTTCTTGTCATATCCCCTTTCCTTTTCCCTTTTTGTTTATTTATTAAGTCTAAATCCCTCGCTGCCGAGTCTAGCATGTCGTCCGTTATATCTTGTATTCCAGGTATTTTGTCCCGAATGACGCGATTGAACATGAGTTCTGTTGGCGCTGATCCCGTGGTGCTGTGTGGGGTGACATTATACATTAAGATAAATTTCTGAATCTCTTCCTTGTAATTTTTTTTGTTGGTATTAGCAATTTTCAATCGTTTCACCAAAGATCTATTCATATTCTCGACCTCACCATTCGCTTGAGCCCAATAAGGGGGCGTAGTGATTAAAGTAATGTTGTTATCTTTGCAATTCCTTCTAAACTCATTACTTACAAATTGCCTGCCGTTATCTGCTCTGATAGATTTAGGTATTCCCAGCCGGCAAAAGATTTCGTGAAAAATATTAATTATTGCTTCAGAAGTAATTTTTCTTAGAAATTTTATTTCTTGATAACGAGAATAGTAATCAATTAAGACAAGGACGTATTCATTATTGGGTAGAGGCCCCAATAAATCTATAGCAACACATTGCCAGCGCCCATTAGGAAAAACGTGCCTCTGCATGGGTGTTGGATTATTAGGTCTCGAAACTAACAAACAATCTCGGCAGCCTTTTACATAGGCCTCCACCTCTCTGTCGATAAGAGGCCACCAAACTTTGGCTCTAACCCTTCGCTTCATGGCGGACTCTCCCGGGTGTCCCTCGTGCGCTAGTTCTAAAATTTTTCTTTGTAGAGTTGTTGGTATTACAATGCGGGTTCCTCGTAAAATGATACTACCCACTGCTGACAATTCGTGGCGAAATGGATAGTACTTATTCTGGCCATCAGTAGGCCAGGAATCGTTCTTAGTATACTCAATGGCGTCAACGATCTCTTTCTCTCGGGAACTCTTCTCCGAAATCTCGGTGATGGTTAAAGCAGATGGGGTTGAACTAGAAACTATATGGAAAATAGATTGTTCCCCATTCTCATCAAAAGATTTTGTGCTCTCGATTTTGCATAATCTCGAAATATAATCGGCAATATTTTCCTTTCCAGAACGGTAAATAACTTTAAATTTATATGATTGAAGCCTCAGCAGCCACCGTTCTATCCTCGCAGGTGGTTTCGAAGTTGGTTTAAAAATAGCTTCAAGAGGCTTATGGTCAGTGACCAGTTCAAATTTCAAACCGATTAAGTAGTAGTAAAACCTCTCTACTGCCCAAACTAGTGCCAAGCTTTCTTTTTCGGTTTGGGAGTACCTTTTCTCAACGTCCGAAAGGCTTTTGCTGGCAAACGAGATTATATGCGCTTCGTCGTTAGAATCAAATTGAATGAGAACTGCTCCAAGAGCTACTGGATTCGCATCTGCTATTACTCGTGTTTTATTTATTGGGTTAAAATATGCTAGGCTCGGTATATTCGATAAAAGCTCTTTCAGTTTCTCGAATCCTTTTTTTTGGGATGCACCCCACTCAAATTTAGAATTTAATTTTAGCAAATTCCTCAGGGGCTCTGTGATATCGGCCATGTCTGGGATAAATTTTCCTACGTAGGTAATTAGGCCGAGAAAACTCCTAGTTTCTTCTTTTGTTTGCGGTGCTCGGAAATCTAAAATTGTTTTTATTTTGTCTGGGTCCGGAAATATACCTGCATCTGATAATACATGTCCCAAAAACTTAAGCTTTTTAACACTCCAAACGCATTTGTCGTGATTAAGCAAAATATTATTGTTCTTAAATACTTCGAGTACCTTTTTAACATCATCAATGTAATTTAAGCAATTCCTGCAAGTGGATAAGAGTTCCTCCAGAACCCGCTAAAAGATCTCAGGAGCAGAGCTGATACCAAACATTAGTCTTTTGTAGCGGAACAATCCCTTGTGAGTTATAAAGGTGGTAATTTCACGACTTGATTCTTCCAGCTCCAATTGATGATAGGCCCATTTAAGATCTAAGCGGGAGAAAAACTTAGCTTCTTTTAACTTTGTCATAAAACTATCAAAAGTTGGAAGTGGATAGTTTTCTCGCAACACAGCTTGATTAGCTCTACGCATATCCACACACAGACGCATTTCTCCCCCCTCCTTAAAAACAGCAACAATTGGAGATATCCACGAACATGGTCCAATAACAGGCTCAATAATGTCTTTAGCAAGGGCTTCATTTAATTTGTCTTCGACTTTTTTTTCAAGAGCAATTGGTATACGGCGCATTGGTTGCTTAACCGGTTTTATGGAAGGATCTAAAGACAATTTTACTTTAATATTTGAAATTCTAGGAAACGGCTCTACTATTTCAACGCTGTTTACACCCAGACCCAATTTCAACACTTTAAGCTGGATGGCGGTATCGCGGCCAAGAAGAGATTGTTTGCCATATTTAATAACGTAGAAAGTGGCGATACTTTCTGAATGCTTTCTCACCGCTACTGGTGCCTCGAAGACATAGAGAACTTTCAGAAGCTGATTCGCTGCGTACGCTTTAAATTGATTCACTGATTCTGTGCGAATGTTCCACATAACTGCTTTGCTACAATTCAGTTCGTCCCAGGCTTGTTGACTAAGCAAATTAAATCGCGATCCTGCGTCGATAATCATTGCAACCTCGTGCCCACCGATCTGACATTTAATAATTTCGTTCATTGACGCAGAAGTTTCTACCTGAAGGCAGTCATGTCCCCACGAATTATCCGACAAGTCGTCTTCAGTTTTCTCAATGCACCTTACTCTTGACGGCTGAAATCGACGTTGTTTTGAATTACCAAAGTCCGTTTGTTCATGCTTTCGCTTTAAGCCCTTTGTTTTACATTTGCGAGCATAGTGCCCCATTAACCCACATTTGTTGCATTTCGATTTCTTGGCTGGACAGTTAATGTCAAAACTCGCATGACCGACCTGACCACATCTGGAACACTCACCCACCCTACTTCCAGCCTTTTGCAATCTCGAAGACACTTTATTAACTATTTCGCTATCTTGCTTGGGAATCATACACTGTGATTGCTTATGGATCTGTTCATGAATTTGACACGCCTCAATAATCTCGGTCAAATCTTGTTCCTTTTCAAGAAGACGTTTTTTTAACTCTACGCTAGCCCAAGAGTCAATAATTTTATCCTTCAACGAGATGTCTTCTATTTCGCTTTTGGTTTCTCCGAAAGAACATTTAGATGCTTGGTGTCTCAAACGCAACAAAAATTTGTTAAAACATTCTCCTTCTAGTGGGACAATGTTCCTAAAGAGATGCCTCTCGAATGTAGAATTTCGCTTCGGTGAAAAGAAATCGTTAAGTTTTTCGATCAAAACCTTGAAAACATCAATTTGCTTCTCCACGTCAACTTCTACCAGAGCTCCGGGAATATTAAATATAACTTCATGTAGTTGAGGGCCACCTAAATGAAGTAGTTTGCTTTTTTGTTTAACCGCATCTTTGATATCTTCTGATTGAAGATATAAAGTAAATGACCTTAGCCATTTCTCCCACTCACTTCGCAATAACGACTTGTCAATGCTATCGCAAAGGAATGGTCTAATTTCAGTCATATCGGCTTGCCTATTCAAAACGAGAAAATAATAATAGGTTGATCATTTCCAGTTAGACATCGCGCAATCGCTTTACTAATTCATCTTCTTACTTGATTTACTAATCAGATTGTTTCCAATTGAATGGACTGCACACTTGCTACTTAT